GAACGAAGTTACGGAAAAATCAATTAACAAACGGAGACGTAACAGTATTAATTAACAATCATCTAACTTTCTGTTTAATGCATACAAAATGTACTAGGCCAATTTTTTTTTTTTTTCATCTACTGTATCTACAGGAGTACATTTACATTTTAATTCTTAACGTCTTACTCAGTTGTCCGTGTTGTCAGTCTCAGACCATTTGGGTTTTGATGTTTTACAGGACTTGAAAATGAAAAAGAAGATGGCTATATTTAAAAGTTTTACCACTATTTTGACCTACCAAAGATTATTAACCACTAAATATCAATTACACAGCAGTTCACACGAGGCAAGGTATAGCATTAAATATGTTTTGCTAGTTAAAATTCTTGGTTGTTGGTACTACACCTTTGCAATTATGTTTATAGCACGTCCCTTATTTTTGCTTACATCACCAACTGCCACATGAAATGTAAGTCAATCTGCAGTTATGATATGTGCTATTCAAAAATAATTGCTACCATACGCATTAGTATAGGCTTACTACAAGTTTGTGTGAACTTCATCTGGTGCACGTATTTACATCAAACATTAGCAATTATCTGTGATATTCAACATGTTTAGTAGATCTGCTCTGATCCTGTTTGGCTTCAAAGATCATAAAGAATTCACTGACACCGTAAAATCTTGAAAAATAACAGTTTTTATTTTCATTTGCTTCGTTGTTGACCTTTGTTTTTTATTTGTTGATTGTTTTTTCCTTTTTGCATATAGGGAGATGATAAAATAAAGACTGGGGTTAATGTGTAAAAGATTTGTCAGTTAAGAAGTTAATAGAAATTTATTGCTTTATTTTTAATTGTGTAATTTATTACAAGGTCTCTATCTTGACCCCTGAGGTCTTGGTCTCAGACACTGAAGTTTCAACTACAACACTGTGAGTTGTGTTAATTAAAAATAAAAAAAATACCTGAACTAGGTGCTATTGCATATAAAAATAGTACATTCAATTGTGGTACTATGCTGTAAGTTATGGACTTGTACCTACTTGTTCATTTTTTATCAAACTGTTGCCCATAGAATTTAAAAGAGAAAAGGAAATATAAGGCCATATATTATAATCAGATCTTTTGCATTACTAGTACATATCTCAAAATGAGGAATTGTAAATTTAGATCCAGTTTCTATAGGATACACATTGTCAAACTATTCCCCAAGTAGTAAAAAATCTGTATAGCAGAGAAGTGAAAGCTAGTTTTACGTTTCATTATATCAAGAAAGTTCATTATTCCATATAGCATTTAATGCTAAATATAGAATTTTATACACATTGCAATTGTAATCAACCCAGTGTGATTTAATATAAATTATATTTTTTAAGTTAAATCATACCAAAAGTTTAAAATAATTAATAGTTGTTATTTTATAGTAGATGAAAACAAAAAAAAAAGTTCTACTACAAAGCTAGAAATTGTAATGAAATATCAGGTATTTATTTACATGTCTCTCATGGTATTTTGATGGACCTTTTCAGATAACAAGTACCCAGCTTGTGGAGGCTTTTATTTCAAGGATTAAAGAAGTCCAACCTATTATTAATGGTATCGTAGATGAAAGATTCATTGATTCACTAGAAGATGCAAAAAAAGTTGATGAGTTTGTTAACTCTGGTCAATATACAGAGAAAGAAATGGAAGAAAAAATGCCTTTCTTAGGAATACCCTTTACAACCAAAGATTGTATTGGAGTGAAAGGTGTGGTATCTTCATGTTTTATGTCTGTTTGAAGTAATTCAAATGTCAAAGACTATTTTAACCGAAATAGAGACAAAAATAATTAATTCAACATGAATTATTTATTTATTTTCTTGCATTAAAATCTGCAGTGGCTATGTATATTTCTCTGTAGTTCTTAGTGTAATGTAGGCATTCATGTACCTCTGATATGTGAAAAATATAAAAAAAGGGAACAATAATGTTTAACGAGAACAACCTACTTTGGTAAAATTGAAGCTCGTCATATTCACCTTAGAAATAACCAGTATGTTGCTGATGGAGATTCAAGATGTTGTTCCCAAACTGGTATCTTATTCTCTTTCTAAAATGTATAGAAAAACTTGGAAAATGACAATTTGTAGTTCAGTGGGTGATGAACAAAACATGAGAAACATCAGACTGCAATATTATTTTTATTATAAAAAATCTAATTTTCTGTACAGTAGTATTCAGAACAATGCTTATTTCAATATGATAATTTTTCACTTTAACCCTACCATTATGGGCTGGATAGAATCCACCCTGCTCGTAACCATGAAAGTATCCATGAGAGTAGTTATACTATGATTTTTGATAAAGTACGCATATCTTTACAAAATTTTGCAGGTAATTGGTAAACATTATAAGGCTTTCATACACAAAATATTAGGTTGTTAAATAAAGTATTAATATTTTTTAATTAAAGATTTTCCCATGAAATTTTTCTTTCAGAATGTTGACTATCCAACATGCAAAGTAATTCTCATTTTGAGATTAAAAATACTTTTATGGCTCAGAACATTTTCAAATTTTACATGCAAAATCTTTATAACTTCCAGATAATTATCAAGTGTTTTTTAGAAAAAAATGTATATTATATGTGTTGTTTTCAATTTCATCAACCTCATAACCACCAAAGAAAAATTAGAAAATAAAGATAAATTATGCTTTTTTATTGTAGAATGACAACAGCTTATAACACGAAAACACAAATGTTTAGTTTAAATAGTGTAAATTTCATAACGTTATGCATTTATATATATTTCTGATTTTTATTATAATGACCTTTTAGCCGTGCCTGGCTAACATTATGGAAGTTGCAGTGATGTGGTGCACAGGCACTCATGTTGCTGTATCTAATAATATAAAACTGACCTTTACAAAGTGACCTGTCTTGGCTGTGTTTTAGTTAACTAGTATTTTGTATAATACAGTCACATTTCAGTTATAATACATTATTACTATTTACAAACAAGTTCTTAAATTTCAGTTATATTTCTAAAATATAGAACAGTAAATAAAGAACTATAGAAAACAATTGTCTCTTATAGTCAGAAACTTTGTACTCATTTGCTGCTTGCCAGAGGTTACTAAGCCTTATCAAATTTCGCATGTTGAGAATGTGAAACAAAATAACTTTTTTTAGTTTATATATATATATATATATTTTAAAATAACCAAAAGTCTTAAATTACTATATTGATACCATAGAATTGCACTATAATTTATCAAGCTAAGTAACTAAGCTGTATTCAGGCTCACTAAAGTCTTACCTTACCAGCTTGGAATCCAGCATAAAAAGAACAAGTTTGAGGTCTAAATATTTCAAAGATGCTGATAAAGTCACTAGAGGCACATTCTGAGCTTTTGATTGTGTATTCACACGTCATAGACTGAAGTAGGTGAACGTAAGCAAGTCTTTCCAAAAATGGACAGAGGTGGGAGATGCAATTGTGTTTGATTCAGTAAATGTAACGATATCTCAGCAAATAGAAAAAATAGGAGGTTCTTATTTGTCAATATTGGTAATTTGATTTCCTTATCCATAAGAAACTATAGACTTTGTATTTTGACATCACAAACATCTATGTACTCACATGACAAACAAAAATCTATATTTAGGATTTCTTTTTAATATTTACTTTTAAGTTAAGAAATTAACCAATGTATAATACTAAAATTTGTATTATAGTCTAAAATTTTAAACCTAACTTATTCCTATACATTCATAAAATAGTGGGTCAATAAAATTATGAATGTGAGTATACAAACATGATGACATGGCCTTTGACCCTTGACCACAGGAACACCTGTAGAGATAGGGTTAATTCTATTGTGGCATTCCTTATTTATTTTTATAGCCTTTCTGGGGAAACTGTAGGTGGAGATAATGAGGAAAAAAATCTATTCATAACTATTATAATATTCCTTAGTTTAATGTGGCAACCAAGATGTTTGATTGTATACATGTAAGTACTGATCAAAGTAGGTTATCATTTAAATCATATTTTCTTCTGAAATACTGAAAGCCTTTCCTTGCTGAATTATTGTCACGCTGTCAACAACCATGTGATTCCAAACATATTGATAGCCTTGTCACAACACAGAGGATACATTAACTTACCAATAATACTTCTCTTTCCAACTTTCACATGACTTATTGCTCTGATTTTCTCTCATGATTCAGGTTTTCTTGTTGATAGTCGTGCTGCTAACTTAACCATTTGACAACGACCTACTTATATTGTAAGTAGGTATGCAACTCTCATGAAAGTTCTTTACAAAAATGAAACTAGTGAATGAAATTATAATTCATATACTGTGATTGGAATTTTACATGATTTGTCATTACTATTGGTCAGGCCTCAACCAGACAGTCGAGGTTATACTACTCAGGGTTAGAATTATAGGGCCATGGTCCTATATCCCACGTTGGTGGCTAGGGCAATTGGACTGCAATCTCTCTCTTTATATATATGTATACTTATGAATAGATCCCAACCTGTAGCCATACAGCGATGCATTCCAAGAAGCCACCAGAATGATGAAGTGGACAAACCTTCTCCACAACCTGAAGAAGTCTGAAAGGCCACCCCCCCCCCTCCCCAAACTCGGAATGATGGAATAGTGTATGCCTTACTCAACCTGAGGAAACAGAACTCATCCAGTCTGGAATTATGAACATACATACAAAAATAATAATAACAACAACATTAACACTATCTGAATGAGGTACTTATATACAGAATCAAGATAGAGGGTGCATTGACTTAGATAGAGAGTATCAAAAGACAAATATTGCCAAAGGCAATTAAGTAGGGTATAAATGACTGAAGCAAGTGAGAAAAAAATCAGATTCATGCTTTGAGGAGCAAAGGAAGAAACCCTGGTAGTCATTTAATAGCTGTAAGTGTGAAATGAGAAAAAATCTGTTAGAGGGTGCATTGATTTAGGTGGAGTGTGTCACGAAACAAATATTGCCAAGGGCAATTAAGTGGGGTATAAATGACTGAAGCAAGTGAGAAAAAATCAGATTCACACTTAGAGGGGCAAAGGAAGAAACTTTGGTAGTCGATTAATAGCTGTAAGTGCGAGGTGAGGTAAATATTATTGGAAATACATTTTCGATTTAAGAAAATGTTAACTTTTTTTTAGGAAGCTGTTTTATTTTCGATTATTATTTGTATAAGGTATAAAAAGTTCAAAGTACGTATAATTTAATAATTAAAAAGTGAATTTTGTGCAGTTACAAAATAAAATGTTTAAATATACAGTTGATAAGCAGTATTTGATTTTATTGGTCTATTGTTTGTTCAATGCGGTCAGGTTTGTGCATTTGTATATAAAAGACATCCTTAAAAATTATTCCTAAATGTCTAGGTGTTTCTGTTTCTTACTAAGGAATGTTACAGACTGCAGGCTTGGTGTCAAAAAAGGGCACAAAAGCTGTAAAAGATGCTGATGTAATTGTTTTGCTTCGTGAAGCTGGTGCCATACCCTTAGCCATTACAAATGTGAGTGAGCTGTGTATGTGGTGGGAAGCAAGTAACAACTTGTATGGACGAAGCAATAATCCTTACAATACTACTAGAATTGTTGGTGGTAGTAGTGGTAAGTGTGTATAAATGATAGAGTACCATCTAACAAAATAAGTAATTCCAAGTCTAGGAATTTTTAAGTTTTGTGCAATAGATATTTTTAGTGTTTTTCTGTATATGTTTTGTTTTCGGCCAGGCTACAGAATGCATGAAGCTTGCATAAAAAAAAAAGCATCAAGTTTACACATTGTTTGTTTATCCTCATATGTTCTTTCATAAATGAATACATTATTTGATGTTTATACATGTAAGATTATAAACAGTCATCTGCAAAAACTAGTGTCTGTTTGACACACTTTTATTTTTTAGGTTGCATGGAAACTTTTTATACGTACTACTTCTCTAGATAAGACGTATATCTGTATAAGTATACATTTTGCTATATAAAACATACATTAGAAATATAAATTGTGTGTGCCAAACAAACACACATTTTGTTGGTATGTATATTTTTTGTGTATATATTCATATTCACCAGTTTCATGTAAATATAAACCTGTACTAGTAATAAAACAAACACAATAAAGTAACTGATGAGCCATACAGTGATATATTTCACTATGTTATGGAGACTTACTGTGACTCATGTGTGCTCCCCCAAGCAGTAATGAAAAACTGTATTTGAGTAAAACTATAGTGTATTGCAGATTGAGTAGTGGAAGGAAGAAGAGACCACCACATCATTCACAGATTTTCTTTTCTTAATGAAATTACAAGTTTTAGTGAGGAAAAGAAAAAAATATTCAGTGATTATCAGCTGGTGATTACCTCTATTTCAGGGTTACTGTTGGGGAAAACTATATCATTTGAATTTTATTGATCAACATTAACAAAGCCCATGTTGTATTGATATTAAACTGTAATTGTCTTGGGTTAATACAATGTTAATATAAAAATAAGAAAAGCAAGTGCCTAGTAAACAACAAAATGGTTCTAAATGTTAGGTGTTAAATGAATTAAAAGTCAGTGGACTCAAAAATATGCAAGTATTCAGCATTGAAGTTTATTTGGTGAAGTATAATACTCATCACATCAAAAGTTTATCTGGAACACTGTACATAATAATATAGTTCTATATAATTGATTGATGTAAATATTTGTATTCATGAACTTAGCCAACTTTCACATTTCTATTCAAAATTTGACCTGGTATGTCATGTTAGTAAGGGTGCTTGACTTACAGTCTGTGGGTTATGGGATTGTAACCATTGCATTTTTTAACATACTAAGTAGTGGACCATTTCTCAATAGTGGGCCCTCTTTCCTGTCCCACCACTGAAGGAAAAATATGCCATTTTTGGAAAGGGATGAAAATGAATTTTATGAATAATAAAAGAACAACTGATCCATAATTTAGACCAGAACTAGATGATGCTGTGCTAATGTTTTGATGTACTATTTGTAGAATAAACTTGTAAGACATTGTTGACTAGCTGCATTTCCTCTGGTTTATTGCTTCAAAATTAAGGACAACTAGTGCAAGTAAGTATCAAGTAGCTTCCTGCAAAGATCAACAAACAAACAAACTTTCAGAATTTGTAGTGCATACTGGAGGGATTTACACATCTTGATAATAAAGATAGAAAAAAAAACGACCTTTACACACCATATAATTATAAGAGAATATTTATTTTAACCAATGTTTCACATTGCAGTATCTGCAGGACTAGTACATAAAACTGTTTGATATAACAATATTTGTTGAATTATAGAACTGCTGGTGATGTTTTGTTTCTCGAGTTTGCCATAACATGCCTCTAACAACGTATAGAATGTTATTATTTACATCATTGTTCTAATATTATAGTATTATTATGATACAAACTGTATAGATTTATATTGCTTATGTGAAATATAAAAATAAAGAGAATTACAAAATGTTTTATGAATAGCTACAAAACAAACAGATGGAAAATAAAAGCTGCTAAGAGACAAAAATTTCAAGATGAAAGGATACAAAGTTTACTAGCAGTGTTAAAAAACATTGTAAGACTGTGTGACATGCTAGAGTATGCAAGTATTAAATTAAAAGTAACAACACTTCATGAATAAAGCAGATGGGGATTTTTGCCCATCCCTATTGACCAGTAATTCTGACAATTGGGATCTTTCTGCTTTTCTAAATAGCGAATCGCAGACACCCATTGCACTGTCTCCATTATGTCATTCCTCTGGACTTCCCAATAAATATCCCCCCCCCCCCTATTTTAATGTAGCATGCAAGTCCTTGCCACTTCTGGTTCCCAGTTGCTGGAATGGTGGACCATGGAGGTTTCCTCAGGAATGGGGTTTATACAATAAACTAAATCAAAATTCATAGCTCATATGTACCCACTCTGTGAGAAGAGGGCTTTCGTTGTTATACTTAATATTATGCAATAACATATTATACTCGATCCAAGGCGCTTCTCCCAAATGTTTCTGACAAAATAAATTTCTTATGCAAGGTGGTTCCACTGGATTTTTTCTGCCCGAATGGATCACACTTGACATACTCAATAATATCATAAGGTGCTTCCCATGGATGTTTTTGGCTGGGTGGTTCACACTTGTTGATCACTAAATAACTTATGAATAAGATATAAAATGAACAAGCTTATGCAAGGCAATTCCACTGGATGTTTTCTACCCAGATCGACTGCACTTGACATAATCTGGTGTATACCAAGGAGTTTTGCCAGGGCTGAACACACTTAGGTATAATAATATGTATCTAAGGTACTTCCCCTGAATGTTTTTTGCCCAGGCAGACTGCACTTGTTGATCTTACAAGCTTATGCAAGGTGCTTCCACTGATGTTTTTGACAGGATGGACTGCACTTGGCATAATCTGACGTATCCCCAGGCACTTCCTCTGGATGTTTTTTGCCCAGGCAGACTGCACTTGTTGATCTTACAAACTTATGCAAGGTGCTTCCACTGATGTTTTTGACAGGATGGACTGCACTTGGCATAATCTGACGTATTCCTAGGCACTTCCTCTGGATGTTTTTTGCCCGAGGCAGACTGCACTTG